GTGGGGGAGATGCTATCTGGCCTCTCTACCCCTAGACACTACCATTTTACATTTTTTAAGTGTATCTGTCCTTCTAATTTTTTTGTCTGCTCATAATTATTTAATTAAATACCATTTTCTTGCCAATGGTCAATATATTTAAAGATAAAACACTGACGTCATTGAGAAATTTATGTGACAAAAAAACCCCAAAGAAGTCTGTTATCATTTTTATTTAACATTGCTTTAGAAATACTAGGCAATGTAATAAGAGATGAAAAGTAATAAAACATAGTTATTGAAAGATGCTGAGATAAAATGTCTTATTTGTAAATTATAAGTTTGCTTACTTTGGTAGAAAACAAAAGCAATAAAACAAAAGAAATAATAAGAGCAGTGAGTTGAAGTAGTATAGAGCAGCGATTCTCAAGATGTGGTCCCAGGACCATCTCAGAAGATTGATGAGCTCAAAGCTATTTTCTTAGTAGTACTAAGATTTTTTTTGCCTTCCACTCTGATTATCTCATGAGTTTTCTCCAGGCAATGTGTTGTTCTCTCTCAGCATATTGAAAGAAGAAATATATTTTAGAATCTGTTTTCTATTAAGCCAGATATTTAAGAGATTTATAAAATTATAGAATAATGCCCCTCTTGTCACTAACTGTTTGTTTTGGAAAACAATTATTTTTCATAAAAGTTGGTTACTTATGTTCATATATAACGGGATTATTGTTCTTTTTTGTATGAATTAATAAAAACATTTCAAGAATTATAAATTCAAACAAATGCAGTAAATATCAATAGTTATAACTCACATGTACAAAAGCTCATTGATGTCTTCAATAGTTTTTGAGACTGTAAAGTGGTTTTGAGATTTAAAAAATTGAGACCTGCTGGTGCAGAGAATGAGCAATATACTGCATTAACCAGTTATAATTTAAAATGGAAATAATAATATACCTAAGAAGAACCTTACAGACCTATGTGAAGTATATAAAGATACTCTAATTTGGGATATTAAAGAGGACTCAGTAAATGGAGATTCATACCATGTTCTTTGATGGGAAGTGTTATTATTATACTAGTGTTCATTCTCCTTAATTAATTTATAGATTTCACATATATCCAAACAATGGATTTGGTAAGCCTGTGGAAATGAAAATTTGTATAAAATTTAACTAAAGGATCCCAAAGTTTGTGCAAGAATAATAGGTAGTAACTGCAAAAAAATTTTTTAAAAGAAGCATAATCAGGTAGACCTGTCTTATCTGATATTAAAGTTACAATATAGAGTCAGATAAGGAAAATCAATTAACTCAAAACTAGTTTCATTATACTGTGAATATACGTGGATATGTGTATATTTGTGTGCATTGAATATATTATAAAGGAAGTATTAGTGTTCAACCTCACTCATCATAAAGGATATATAAATGAAATCATTCTTATCAGTTTGGTGAAGATAAAATATTAATATTAGAGGTAATAGTATTGCTAAGCATTTATAAATTGTTGAGGAAAGAAATTGTAAATTGTAATAACCTTCTTGGATAGCTAAGCTATACATCAAGTGCTTCAAAATATTCATAATCTTTAATGTGGCAACTTTATTTCTAGAAATCTCTCTCGAGGAATATTCAGAAATGCAAAAGTATTTATACACAAAAATGTTCATGGCACCATTTTTTTATAATAAGACACATTTTAGAATGTCTACATATTGAGAAATGACATTTCCATAACAAATATGGGAATGTCAAGGAAAAACTGCATCTAGAATAATGATTAAAAATAGAAAATACATTTCATATATTTCATAAATCCAATTATGTAAAAAGGGTTAAAAAATACCAGGAGAAGATAGCTTAATAAATTAATAGTGGTTATCTTTGGATTCTGGATTCTAGAATTATGAATAGATTTTATTCATAATATACCTTTATAACTTTCTGTATTTTTCTAATTTTTTGCAATGAACATATGTCATAGTTAATGTAAACAATTATAATTCAATTAATTTTATACACAACTACTGAAGTTTTAATTTATAGATGAAAATAAATTAGATAAATGAGACTTTATTCTGTATTTCAGCTCTGGATTACTTGCTTTATCACATTTGACAGTAACTTCTTGGATAGTGCCTCCAAATATTAGTACAATGTAGTATTTGCCCATTCACCAGTAAACTATATAACCTTAAACAAGTCACTTTACCTCTTAGGTCTTTAATTTTTTTTTGCCTATCAAATGAAGTTTCCTCTAGTTTTAAAATCTGTAAGTCAAGTGATGAAGATTTCTAAGACTATATTTCCAACAGAAATGTCTTATCTGAACAATCTCTCTGTTTTTCTTTCACTACACATTTTCTCCTAAGACATTTCCTCTTATTTTTATTTTATTTATTTTTATTCATTTCAGAGAAGAGGGGAGAGGGAGAGAGAGAGATAGAAATATCAATGATGAGAGAGAATCATTGATCGGCTGCCTTGTGCACGCCCCCTACTGGGGATCAAGCTTGATGGGACTGTGACCTTCTGGTTCATAGTCAATGCTCAACCACTGAGCTATGTGGGTCGGGCTCATATTCCCTTCTATGTTTAGTGTTTGTGGAATTCCCCATTCCCTCCCCAACATCTGATGATTGAAGAAGGGCTTAAAATGTCATCATCTGTCTGTCTATCTGTACTACTCAAGGCAGCATCTAGATCCTCGTGGTCCATGGATTCTAAGAATCTAAGTATAGATGGACTTACTTAGAGAATAGTGAATTGTGGTTGCATTTTCCATCTCATCTTAGCCTGTTTTGTTGGACCTCATTGATATATGTTCTCTATAGCTTCACACTTCCCAGGCTTTGCTACTTATGTTTAACATTCAAAATGATTAGGACTTTGGAAATATTTGTGGTTTTGATGAAGCTATATATATTATTTAAATTGTAGTTTACCATCTGATATTTTAAATCTGTGATGTTTACTAAAAATGCATTGCTACAGTTAGTTGCTAAGGTATATAAGTCACTATATATGTTAATGGATGATATGAATGAATATTGATACAATATGATAAGCTTCCTGCAGATCCATTCACTTACTATCAAATAGAATTGAATTTATTAAATTCTTTAGTATAAAGTTGTAATCTATATTGTATACTTTAAGTGGAAAAGCAAACCTTAGAATTGAAACTCCTTGTCTAATTAGTCATCTGGGGTGGAATATATGCTGTTTGATGCCTCCATGTGATTCATGTGTACTGATGAATTTCTTTTTAAACTTGCAGCAAATAGTGGCAGCAATAAATGCAGGGATTATACCGTTAGGAAACACCTCCAATCAAATCAGTCACTGGGACTTGGGAAGTTCCTTCTTCTTTGCTGGCACTGTTATTACCACCATAGGTAGGAGACAACTTATTTTGTTTTTTAATTTTGGTACAGCTTGTGAGCTAAAATTCATTTGTTTGAATTTTTTATTTTTTACAGTTGATCAAAATGGTCTTTGTAAGGTAGAAAACTAGATTTTAGTGAATTAATTTTGGAAAGAAGGTTTAAAGGTTTGAACAAAGGAATGATGGAAATGAATTAGTTATTGTTTCAGAATCCTGAGTTAAATTTACAATACACGTGAAACTCCAGGGCAGTGCAGTTGTCGTTCAACTAATGGGTAGGAACTTCATGCAATGGCTTGAAATTATGATGTGCTTTTGTGCGTGCGTGTGTGTGTATGTGTGTGTGTGTGTGTGTGTGGTGGGGGAGGGCAAATAGTTTTCCTGCATCTTTGATTCTTTGGTTTTAGAAACAGAGATTTGGAGTACAATTTTGACTTTTTAAAATGATTGTTATCAACGTTTTCAATTTATAAATTTTAACTCTACATTTTAACAGGTTATTCCTGTTCTTACATGCATGTCTATTTTAACTACTTCAGGGCTTTCTTTTTATACATTGTGTTTCCAATAGTATATATAAATATATATAAAAGCCTAAGCGACCAGCTGACCGGCCAGTAGCTATGACACGCAATGACCACCCGGAGGCAGACACTCAATGCACAGGCATGGAAACATGGGACATACCGATGAATCTCAGAGGAAAGGGGAGAGGGGGGGAGGGCAGATTAACCAAAGATCTTATATGCATACTAGAGGCCCAGTGCATGAATTCGTGCACCAATGGGGTCCCTTGGCCTGGACTGCAGGGATCAGGCCAAAACCAGCTCTCTGACATCCCCCGAGGGGTCCTGAGTTGCAAGAGGGTACAGGCCAGGCCGAAGGACCCCACTGGTGCATGAATCCATGCACCAGGTCTCTAGTATCCTATGTAATAAAAGCCTAATATGCAAATTGACCAAACAGCAGAACAACTGGTTGCTATGATGCACACTGACCACCAGGTGGCAGATGCTCAATGCAGGAGCTTCCCTCAGCCCACAGGCCCCAGGCCAGCCAAGGCGGGTGCCAGTGTGGGCCCCCCAATCGCCCCACCAGTCACCCCACAGAGAGAGGCGACTGGTGGCAGTGGGGGGTGGGACCAGCGAGTGGGCGGCGCCAGGCCAGCAAAGGTGGGTGCCAGTGGGGGCCCCCCCCCAGTCACCATGCTGGTTGCCCCACAGATTGGCCCTGATTGCCGGCCAGGCTTAGGGACCCTACCCATGCACGAATTTTGTGCACTGGGCCTCTAGTATCTATAATAATAAAAACATAATATGCTAATTAGACCAGACAGCCAAATGACCTTCTGGACATCATTCCGGACATCCTTCCAGATGAAGCCGTCGTGGCGGGGGCCGAGGCAGAGGCGGTTAGGGGCGATCAGGTAGGCAGGCAGGCGAGCAGTTAGGAGCCAGTGGTTCCCGATTGTGAGAGGGGTGTCTGACTGCCGGTTTAGGCCTAATCCCTGTGGGATCCCTGCTGAATCAGGCCTAAACTAGCAGTCAGAATTCCCCCGAGGGGTCCCGGATTGCGAGAGGGTGCAGACCAGGTTGAGGGAATGAATTTCGTGCGCTGGGCTTCTAGTATATATATAATTAACACTGAACTGTGAGGATTACAAAAAAGAATTAAAGTTTAAACCCTTGCTGTTTTGCCTCTTAATCATGTCACCTGTTACAGTGATAAAAGGGTCACATAGTGGAATGTGATCTCTTCCTCAGCTTGAGCGTGCATACACCCAGCACCTTCTAGGTAGCAGAATGGGTACTTGTAGATGACTTCTCTTCTGTTAGTCATTCAGTGCCCAAGAAATACCCAGAGGACATAAATGCCAGGCTTGGGGACCAGGAGGAGTTGTAGCTGTCTGGTTTAATGGAAAGAGGTCATTTTAAAGCATAATATTCAAGATAAGGAAGGAAACTGACCCATCACAGTTATGAAGGAATTTTAAGTGAAAGAAAATATATGTGCAAAACTGAGTTCTGCCTGTCCACTTATGCTTGTGATGAGGATGCCTCTCCTGGGCTTGATCTCTGATTTTTGGGGTGTGAAGTAAGTTTCTAAAAATTTTCATTTTATTCCTTGGTGTCATTGACAAATGACAAATCAAGTATATAAGGTTTCGAATCAGTGCTTTATATCAAAGCCCTAAAGAAGAAAGCATGGACAATTTATGGAGGAACTCTCGCTTAAAATTTCCCTTTGAGAGGAATCTGTAGTGACCTGTCATTATGAATCCACTGGAATGCCTCTGTGCTGGGTCACTTGCCAGTGAAATAAATACCTTAGCATGTTGACTTTTGCCTTCGTCAAGAGGTCAAGGAACTATGTTCACTCTTACTTTTCCATTAGCTAAGTCAAAAGTTGTGTGGCTGTGAAAATCTGGAAGAATGGCAACCTTGATTTCTAACCATAATGACAGGTTAACTTTGGCGCGTAGGCATCTTGGTCATTTCTACTATGGAAATGACTGTTTATTGTGTAAACTACTTAGCGTCTGGAAGGGAAAAAAAACTCACAGACTGAGTGAGAATGGTTTGTTTCTGCCCAATGACAACTCAAAAGTCCAAGTTATAACTCATCATGACCACCACTCAATTATTCCACAGGAGACTCGGTCATTATACAGCCTTCCTGTTGCAGGGTATGTTTATAAACAGTCTCATTTTTTGAATCCCAAATTCAGTAAGTTTTGCAGACATATCCTTCAACACATGAAAAAAATAAGCCATTATTACCAGCCTTACCCCAAATGATAGCCATTAAGCACAGTAACTGATTATTTAGGTTGTTTAGGTAGCTGCCTGACAGCCCAGATCTCCTACTGTTCTATCTCAGGCTTCAGTCTTAGGTGAGTTAAGTCATTCTAGGTCATCCAGAAATATTTCATGGTCTTTTACTCCCAGGTCAAAGCCACCTCCTCTGACCTTGCACTAGATCAGGGGTGGGGAACATCAGGCCCACAGGCTGTATATGGCCCACAAAATAATTTGGTCTGGCCCTGCCAAGGCATTAGAGGTAAATTAATTAACTGACCAAATATAGTAGGCTAATTTTTAAACTGATAATTTTGTATGGCCTGCGGATGATGTTATAAATGTCCAAATGGCCCTTGGCAGGAAAAAGGTTCCCCATCCCTGGACTAGATTATCATCTATGGTTCAGTGAACATTTTGGCCTCTTTTATAGGTGTGCTTTTGAAAATTTAAAATGTAATTACTCCCCCCCCACCCCAACCCCCTGGCTCACTCAACCTCTTTTTTTCAGTATGTGTAACTTGAAGCTAATTATACTACTGGATATCTGACTGGAGCCACATATATAGAATCTGTATTGTTCTTACTGAAACACAGCATAGAATTAACAAACTTAAATAAAACAATCCTAAATTAAAAATGAAAAAATGCAATTACTAATAATGTTAATGATAATTGTGTGAGCCTTGTGTGAACAACATAGAAATTGTAACCTCTAGCACTAGTTGCATTGTATCAGTCATTTAAAAATAGAACTTGAGCCCTAGCCGGTTTGGCTCAGTGGATAGAACTTCAGCCTGTGGACTGAAGGGTCCAAGGCATATGCCTGGGTTGTGGGCTTGATCCCCAGTAGGGGGCGTGCAGGAGGCAGCCAATCAATGACTCTCATCACTGATGTTTCTATCTCTCCCTTTCTCTTCTGCTCTAAAGTAAAAAAAAAAAAATCTGTTTAAAAAAACAAAAATAGAACTTGAGACAGTTTTGGAGAATAAATTGCAGTGGATTTTATAAGGTGCCTGGTACAGGTAGTGCTTCAGGGAGCTGCATTGGCTGCAATTGTCCAAGACTTTTCTATTCAATATTATCAATTTGCCTTAGAGGCCAAAGTTACCCTTACTGTTCATTGGAAATATGCCCAAGGGGAGTTCAATTACACAAAATGGAATGTTAAAATTTAAGGACTAATTTTAGAGAACCTCTGCATATGTCTATATACTCTTTCCAAAATCATGCCCTTCCAAACCCTTCACAAATTCCATTCCAAAGTTGTATAGACTAAAATCCAGTTTTTACTTCTCTCTCTCTCTCTCTCTCTCTCTCTCCCCCCTCACTTTCCGACTACCAGCCAATTCTGTCGGCTCTGCCTTTAAAGGAGACCCACCATTTAACTACCGTTTTGGTCCCAGCCGGCATCGTCTCAGTGTCAGGATCCTTGCAGAAAGGAACCTTCTGCTCAGAACCTTCCGTGGTTTCCAACTCAGTTGGAGCAAAAAACATCATTCATTGCCTCTCTCATCACAGATATGCAAGTTCTGTGAGGTTAAGGGATTTGATGTGTTTGAATCTTTTCTGTATTCCCAATGTCTGACACATAGTGGGTGCCTGATCATTACTTCTGGAATAAAAAACTAGGCATTCTAAGTGGTATGAAGCGTGGCTTACTAGACATGACATAATGCTAAAGTGATACCGATTATACTAAATTCTTAGCTCTTTCAATAGCTTTCATTACTAAATTTTTGTTTGTTCATTTGTTGACTCAACAAATAAGAAAACAACATCGCTCTGCTACTGCAACAATAAAAGATCAATTATTTGAGCTTAAGTTGCACAAGAACCAGTTGAGGGGCCAAAGGGGCTAATAATCATTTACCCTAGAGTGTGTCAGGTATGTTTCAGGACTTTTAATGGAAGTGGGTAGGAGTGACACTTTACATAGATATTGGGGTAGATGAGGAAAGGGGCAAGGAATATTTTCCTTAATGAGTGTCCTAGTTGAGACTGGAAAGATAACTAGGAATTTTCCAGGTGAGTAAAGGTGGAAAGGAAACATTTGAGGCGTTGGGGGTTCATGTAGGCTAGATCAGGGGTCAGAGACAGTATGTTCTGTTAGGGAATTGCAAGTTATCTAGAACTGGTGTTTGTCACTGAAGGGATTCATGCTCAGGACCATGTAAACTAGTAAGTCGGTGTAAATAGCTCCTGTTGAATCAGTGCTACTTCTGCCACTG